GGCCAGCCCCGCCGGCATGACGTCATGTGCCGCGGGGCCGCCGGAGCGCGCCCGTGCAGGCAGCGGGAGACGCACACCCTACACACACAGGCGCGCGCGCGGGGCTGTGTCCCTACACACACACACACTGGGTACCAGCACACCAACACGCGTGCAAACATACACACACGTGTACAGGTACACGTACACCTGTGCACACATAAGCACCTTCCTACACACTCCTATGTATACACACAAACACACATAGATGCCGACATACACACACAGACTTGCCTACGGACACACATATACATACATACACACACATATACATACACACACATACATACATAAATACACACATAAACATACCTATATACGTGCGTACACATTCATACATGCACATATACACACATATCCATACACATACATACATGGACACAGACAGGTACACCCACGCATGCACACACACAGACAGGTACACACACAGACATGTACACCCACACGCGCGCGCGCACACACGCACAGAGGTACACCCACGCGCGCGCACGCACACAGGTACGCCCACCCCCACACACACCCAGACAGGTACGCCCACGCACACACAGACACAGGTACACCCACGCCGCGGGGCTGGGCCACCTCGCCGTCCCCTGTCCCCGTCCCCCGTCCCCGGGCCTGGCTGGGGCTGGGGCAGCCCTCGTCCGTGCCCCCCCACCCCCCCCCCCCCCCCCCCCGCCCCGCCCTCCCCCGCCGCCTTCCCCCCCCCTGGAGCCGCCTCCACAGACGTGGCCTCCCCCCCCCCCCCGGACCCACAGAAACCCCAGCGCTGCGGGGGCTGGAGGCTGCTGGAGCAGCGAGCGGGAGGATGTGGAGCCGTGGCTGCGGGCACCCATGTGCTCCTGAAGTGTACATATAAAGGGACGAGAGTACGCATACATATGTTTGTATTCATGCATAGACATATATACAGGTACAGACATACCTACACATAAATATATATGTGTATACATATATTTGTGTATATATTTATAATGTAAGCACATATTTGAGAGCCGTTCCCATCATGTTTTATGTGTAAGGAAAAAAATGTAGTAGACCTGCAGCCCATGCGAAGTTCGTTTTCCCCATGGCAAACGCCCAGAAGCTGGGGCTGCCCAGTAACCGGCAGCGGAGCAGTGGGAGGTCTCCTTTCCCCCTCCTGGGTAGTGCATCAGCGCTTCCCAAAAGTTTTCTTTTCCCCGTGGGCGACCAGCTTCCACCAAGCTCGGGTGTTTCTTACTCAGGGCTTCCAGTTAGCACCGCTTCCACTTCCCCTGCGTCCCCGCGATGCCTCCCCGCGATGCCTCCCCGGCCGCTCGCTGCCCGCAGCCACCGCTGCCCCCAGCACCTCCTCCCGCCTCAGCCCTTTTACCCCAGCCCTTTCCAGCGATTCCTCTTCCCCCCGGCGCTGCGGCCCCAGCTGCGCTGCTCCTTCCTCGCCCTTTTCAGTAGTTTTCTGTTCTCCCTTCTTCAGCTGCTCCTTGGAGGAGACCTCTCCATCCAGCCTTCGCCCCGGGGCTCCTCTCCCACCCTCCTGCCCCACCAGCCTCACCAACTGCCAACCTTCAAATTTTCCAGCTTCTCCTCCACTGATGCCCCCCATCTTTAGCCACCTCAGACCTTCTTCTAAACCCAGCCGGGCTCTGGATCTGGCCGAGAGCTCCGGGGCTTTCCAGGCTCTCACGGGCAGCTGCAAGGAGGGGACACGGGGAAGGGCACGGGCAGGTGAGCGCCAGCCCCAGCTCCCCCGCTTATCGCAGGATTGTCTCTGCTCTGCCGAGCAGTGGGGTTTTTGCCAGGACTGCGGTCTCAAAGCGAATCTGTTTTTTCAACACATTCCTTCAAAATAAACACGAGATTGTGCTTTTCGTTCCATTTATTTGTTGTTCTTTTAACAGCAGGTTGGAAACAGATTGCGAGAGAAACGCTCACACACTTCAGTGCTGGGAAGCGAGTCCGCTCGACCACACCGTCACCCACCCTGCTGCTGGGACCCCGCCGCCGTCCACGGCGGGTCGCTGGGTATGAATCACGGGCCCGGCAGTTGGGTGGCTGACACAGGTCCCTCCACACCACGAGCGCAGGGGAGGTGAGCAGGGAGTGTCCGTCCGTCCGTCCTCCTCTGATGCACGCCGAGCCAGCTCCTCGTGAGACGCGATATCGCTGCGACACCATGCCATGGCCAGGCTCTGGTGACCTTGCGCGTCAGCCGTCGAACACCAACCTACCCAGATTTTTCTAAGGAGCTGAAGAGCAGGAATTATTGGTGATCGATTGCTTGCCAGCTTTTTGCAGCAGAAACCAGTATAGCAGATGGCCACAAGACAGGACTTTATTCACGACCTTTTCCTAGAGAAAATGTCATCCTTTTGAGACGGACCTCAGGCACTGACCTTTCTGTAAGTTTATACCCAGGAACTGCTTCACTTTCCTCCTTTGGAGGGTGACGCGGGAGCGACTGGAGGCACCGCCGTGCGGGAGCGCAGGAGAGGCAAGGGCTCAGCTCAGCCTAAGTGGAGAAGCCCGGCGGGGTTTGGAGCTGGGAGCATCCTTCTCCCAGAGGACTTGATCGGGATGGGATGCTGCACCCCTCCAACCAGCCCAAAGCCTCGTGCGTCCCAGGAGGGGGAGCGCGGGTTGGGTGGCCCCGCGCGAACGCTTCGATGGAAAGCAGTGTTTTTGAGGGTGCTGTGCCACTGGCGCCTCGTCAGTGGGAACAGCCAGCCTGGCTCACAGACGCAGCATCCCTCTGCCGCTGACAGTCTTTTCTCCTGTTGTCCTCAACCCTTCCCAGTGTCCCACACCGAAAGCAAAGCTAAAAGGCTGAGGTGTTTTTTCCCCAGTTTGGCAGCTTCAATTTTTCCCAAGTTTAAAGAAATCACCGTGTCTGACACCTGCCCAGCTAAGTGAGAATGTGCTCTCAATGACAACCACCTTTCCAGTCGTGATGTTAACCACCAGCATATAAATATTAAATACAGGCCAGACGCTGTGGGCCAGATACCTTGGCAGCTCTGAGAGCGCAGGGAAGGCATCCAGCCCAGGCCTTTGCGCAAAGGGAATTTACCTCCACAACAACGCTAATTGCTCTTCCACCGACTTATGTAATTGTGAGACTTCTGCATCTGGTCTTGTTTACACCCAGCGCAAATCAGGAAGAAAAAAATTCATCACATGTGGCAGTGTGTACTTAATCACTTACAATCCTGGACTAGCTATTTCCTTGCTTTACTCTATTTTTGTTTTCTTTTCTTAAATAAACCTGCCATAAGAATGAAAGAAAGGAAAATACAGAACAGGGCTGAAGTGGCTTTTAGGAGCTCGCTCTGACCTGAATGACTTTCTTAAGGGTTAGATTTCCTGCCTTAACAAAAGCCAGGAAATACAAAATTAACCCCTTCCTCCAAAACAATCCCTGTTTGCACCGGGGCTACAATGGCATTGTAAGGGCAATAATAGAAAGGGGCACGAAGGGTGGGGGCGGGAGGTGATGCTTGGATTTGAGCAGATGGGACCCACTGCCGCCACTCGGCCCCCTTGGTCCCCTGGCCCTCAACAGCTCCCATGCTGCTCTGCCAAAATACGGACGAGTCCGTAAGGACACGAGAGCCCCGTGAGCGTCAGCCCGCGCTCATGGCATTAGGGACTTCTTCGGAAAATGACGTCACGGCAGTTTCGTCATGTCATGACTGAGCGTGTTGCCTTTGTCTCAGCGGGACCGGAGAGCTGCCTGGCTTTCTCCGGAGGCTGTGGGTCTCCCCGTGCAGCCCGGCTGATGTTTATCTGGGAGGGTAATAGAGGGCTGCAGCGGCTTCTGCATTGACTGACACCGATGCCAATTTGTTAGCAACTTGGTGACAAGCGTAGATAACCCCTGGCCTGGAACTGGCCCATTGCACAAACCAGTTACCCAGTAATACTGGTTATTCAGGCTTTGTAACTAGTCGCTCATGGCCAAAACCGTTCCAGCAAAGCCAGAATTACAGCACCATTGGCCCTGACCTGAGCCTGGGTCTCGCTGCCCTCGGTGCAAGTTTTGTCTGAATAAAGAGAGGAAGGATCAAGCCTCAGCACTTGAGACAGAGAACAAAAATGCATGTGGGAACATTTGGAAACCGTGCTGGATGCATTTCTTCAGCATGTGTAACATTTTCTCCGAATTCAGTTTCACAACCCAGCATTTCCTTTTGTAAATATTTGGACAGGTTTTACAGAGACAGAGATTCACAAGAAACAGACAGAAAAAGAAAGGAAAGTTGGGGGGGAGAGAGAGGAAGAAAAGAAGGAAGGAAGGAAGGAAGAAAGGAAGGAAGGAAGGAAGGAAAAGAAAAGAAAGAAAGACGAAAAGAAAGAAAGACAGAAAGAAAGAGAAAGAAAGAAAGAAGGAAAGAAAAAAGAGAAAGGAAAGAGAGAAAGGAAGAAAAGAAGAAAGGAAGAAAGAAAGAAAAAGGAAGGGGACAAAGAAAAGGATTCAGTGGTGAAAGGTTACAGTAAACAGAATACAAACAATATAGAATTACTGATGACTCATACTGCAATGAAAACATTATTTTTCATGCATTTAAATCCTGAGATTTAATCCTTTTGCCAGGGTTTGGCTGAGCTCAGACTGCCTTGGATTCTTCGTGTCGGAGTTGATGAGGTGGGGGAATGGGGAGGCAGAAGGGTCAGTCCTGACAGCACGAAAACCAGCCCTGGGCTGGGGGCTCCCTCCTGGAGAGACAGGCTGGAAATCCCGGTCCTGCCTTATTTCTGTACGCCACATCCAACGTGTAACTATTTCTTGCTGA